AATGAGAGGATTTAGAGTTTCTTTACCCTTAGAGGAATACTTGACTAGTCTCCTCCTAGAATCCCTTGATGTCCTTCTTCTTCTATGGTGTGCTAGTGGATCAAGATTGGGAGAGTGGGAGAAAATATTTAAGAGAAAATGGAAAGTGTGTGGCCGGATTTTTGAGTGGGGAAAAAACTAGGAGAGAAAAAAAAATGAAGCTTATCCTATGTTGGTTCCTTTTATAGGCAACTTGGAAATTATTTTTTTAACACCAATTCCACTCCATCATTCAACCAAATTTTTAGTTAAAGTCCCCCTTTCTTGGCCGGTTTTGGAAGGAGAAAAGGAGAAGCAAATTTGCCATTAATTCCCCTTCAACCACTACAATCACATCACCTTAACATGTCATCCACTTGCACACTCAACTAGCTAATTTTGGCTCTATTTTTTCTATGCATGGCCGGTGGTGTGCTTCAAGAAGGAAGTGTGGTAAACATTTATGTCCAATAGTTGATTTGACACAATCCCATCACACCTTACCATGTAATCCCCTAGCGCACTCAACTAGCTAATTTTGGCTCTATTTTTTCTATGCATGGCCGGCCAAAGTGGAGAAGGAAAGAGAGAAAAATAAATCCTACCCCTTGTACTTTGGTCCACTTTCTTAAGTTTCCCTTTGAAACTGATAAAAATTATACTGACTATAAGAAAGTAACTTAGCTGACAGGAATTCATTTCCATTTCTGACGGTTCCTTTTTCTACTGTTTATTTACAGTTAAATGTTAATCCTTGACTGCTTTGGATATCACATTAAATTCTTATTCGCGTAATATCTTGAACTGTTTCCAGTCTTGAAATTAATTCTAGACTGAACAAATTCTAAATTTAACTTTCCTGTGTTAATTTCCGGAAATGACGTTGTTTTTTACGGTGTCAACTCCCGAGTTCACATTGTACCCTTCTACTATGGGTATTTATCTTCTGACTTTAACCTAGCTGTCTGGCAATTAAGGATTTTCTCTTCTTTTAAAATGTCAGTGCATTTTTTTTTATACGTTGCTAACATCATGCTGTGTTTGGAGATTCTTGAAATTAAGATTCTCAAATTATACTTGTACTGAAAATTATTCCGCCTTAAAGTACGACGATAATTTATCGATCGAATTTACTTGATCGAAAACATGAACTTAACATGAAATCTACTACAGAATTTAGGAATACATATATTAATTCCATAAATCCTTCAGTCACGTAATATTTGTCTAAGAAAATTCTTGGCTTAAATACATAAATTGTATTATTTAAGGTCTGGGATTTTCTCAGTCATTACACTCCCATTGCTGATAAAATCGTCGGGGGCTTGGGATCTGCTGCTGTGAAAGAGATTGCATTGCTTTGGGGGGTCAACGACGATCTTGATCAGCTTAATGATACCATTTCAACCATCAAATATGTGCTTCTTGATGCTGAGGAGAAGCAGATCAACAGCCACCAAGTCAGAAACTGGCTCCGTAGGCTTGGGGGTGTAGTTGATGATGCCGACAACTTGTTGGACGAGTTCAACACCGAAGCTTTGCGACGACGAGTGATGCCTGCAGGAAGTGAAATGGTCAAGCAGGTATGCACTTTCTTCTCTGCCTCAAACCAACTTGCTTTTCGGCACAAGATGGGTTGTAGGATTAGGGAAATAAGGAAGAAACTAGATACTATTTCCAATGACAGAAACTTCCGTTTAGAAGTTCGTCACGAAGATAATCAGGCGGTCTCTGCTAGGAGAAGGAGAGAAACTTATTTGTTTGTCCGTCAAGAAGAGGTTATTGGTAGGGATGAGGATAGAGTGGAAATTATTAAGCTTTTGTTGGAACAAGGTGAATTGGAAGAGAATGTCTCTGTCATTCCCATCGTGGGCATGGGAGGGCTAGGAAAAACCGCACTTGCTCAAACTGCTTTCAATGAGGAGACGGTCCAACAACATTTTGAGCCAAAGATGTGGGTGTGTGTTTCTGATGATTTTGACTTGAAGTTAATTCTTCAACAAATTATCAAGTCTGCAACTAAAAATAACAACAACTTGAAAGATAATGATTCAATGGATCAATTGCAAAACGAGCTTCGGAATGTACTTAATGGAAAGAGGTATCTCCTTGTGCTAGATTATGTGTGGGAGGAAAAACGCGAAGAATGGTCAACGCTTAAAGACTTGTTATTAAGTGGATCACGTGGGAGTAGAATTGTAGTAACATCTCGGAGTAAAAAGGTGACTGCGACTACTGGATCGGTCCAGCCATACCAATTAGGGATCTTAGATGAAGAAAAATCTTGGTCTCTGTTTGAAAAGATGGCTTTTAAACAAAAAGAAGAGGAGAGAGACCCCGAGATTGTGGATATTGGGAGGCAGATTGTGAAAAGGTGTGGAGGAGTTCCTCTCGCGATAAGAGCTATAGGAGGCATGTTGTTTTCTAAAAGTTCAAAATCAGAGTGGTTGTCCTTTTATAAGGGATTTTCCAAAATATCACAAGAAAAAAAAGAAGGCATTTTATCAATACTCAAATTGAGTTATGATAATCTTACCTCACACTTGAAACGTTGTTTTGCCTATTGTAGATTATTTCCTAAAGATTACAGAATTGAGGTCGAAACATTAGTAAAACTTTGGATGGCACAAGGGCTTCTCGAGTTACAAGATCCAAGTGATGACCAATGTCTGGAGGATGTGGGCTACGGATATTTTGTGGAATTACTTGGAAGGTCATTCTTTCAAGAAGTTGAAGTAGATCAATGGGGCGGTGTAGAAAGTTGCAAAATGCACGATCTCATGCATGATCTCGCCATAGAAGTAGCAGGAACAGAAAGCGCTACTGTAAGTTTGAACTCCGGAGGCAATATTGGCAAGGATACTCGTCATGTTTCCTTTGATTCCAGTATTAACTCGCCAAAGAAAATTTCTTCTTCATTGGTTCAAGCACGTAAGATTCGGACAGTTCTTTTGCTTGATCACAAGTCTTGGAATAACAAATGGTTAACTTCTGATGCAGTAAGATCAAATTTCAAGTTCACACGCACTTTGGATTTGAATCGTTCGGGGATTACAATACTACCAAAGTCTATAGGCAGTTTTAAGCATTTGAGATATCTAGATCTTTCAGGTAACTATTTCAAGATGCTACCCAATTCGATTACCAATCTAGTGAATCTGCAGACACTACGACTGAATCGTTGCTCTTGCCTACGAGAATTGCCCAGAGACTTGAAGAAGTTAGTCAATCTCAGACATCTTGAAATTGATAGGTGCGATGGATTGACTCATATGCCACGCGGATTGAGTCAGCTGACCAATCTTCAGACACTATCAAGAATTAATGGAGGTGACCTAAAAGAATTAATGGGCTTGAACAACTTGAAAGGGGATTTGAGAATTCGGAATCTGCGTCATGAGAATGACGCGGCAAGAGACTATGAGTCTGCAAATTTAAAGGAAAAACAATATCTTTGATCCTTGCGACTGGAATGGATTTCTGATGATGAAGGAACAGAGGCTCCTGTTAGTTATGAGAAGTCACTAGAAGCCCTCCAGCCACATCCAAATCTCCAAGGATTGGCTCTATACAAATACGGGGGTGTCAAGATTTCAAGTTGGCTTTCTTCACTTACAAATCTGGTGAATTTGTCATTAGATTCGTGTGAGAAATGCCAACATTTAGTGCCGTTGAATCAATTCCACCGTCTCAAGAAATTAGTACTTTATAGGTTGCCGTGTCTGGAGTACGTAAATGGTGAGGAGGACTTGTTGCTTTCATCAACAATAATACTGCCATCCCTATGAGAACTTTTCTTGTTTGATTTGCCAAATCTAAAGGGATGGTGGAGAGAGGTAGTAAGTGGGGAATTGTTGCCTTGTTTTCCTCCTTGGCTTTCTGAATTAAAAATATTGGATTGTCCTCAGCTGAGTTGCATGCCGCTTTACCCACATTTGGAAAAAAAACTAGACCTAAGAAATACAAGGTTGAAGCCATTGGAACAGACAGTATTAGTATTAGAGAGTAGAAAATGCAGTACTAGTACTACTGGAACTGAAATCCCAACGACAACGTCATCTTCTTTCTCTCCTCTCTCTAAATTGACATCTTTGACTATTGGTGGAATTGGGGAGGATCCACAATGTCTTCCGGAGTGGTTCAAGAGCCTTTCTTGTCTCAAAAAGCTGGTGATTGAGAGATGCTCGAAATTGAAGGATCTGAGCCCGGGTATTCAACATCTCACCTCACTTGAAGAGTTAAATATTAGAAATTGCGAGGAGTTAGAAGAGATGATACCATTGGTGAATAACGGAAGACTCCGCTCTCTGGAGCTTACTGGCATTCATAAATTGGCGTCTCTTCCTGAGGGTCTTCAACACCTTATCAGTCTCCGACACCTTGAGATTGATGATTGGAAGAGTCTGGAAACTATTCCGGAGTGGATTGGCAACCTAAATTCACTTGAAACACTTGAATTAAGGGAATGCCCCAAATTGAGAGCATTGCCTGAAGATATTCAACATCTCACCTCACTTGAAGAGTTAAATATTAGAAATTGCGAGGAGTTAGAAGAGATGATACCATTGGTGAATAACGGAAGACTCCGCTCTCTGGAGCTTGCTGACATTCATAAATTGGCGTCTCTTCCTGAGGGTCTTCAACACCTTACCAGTCTCCGACACCTTGAGATTGATGATTGGAAGAGTCTGGAAACTCTTCCGGAGTGGATTGGCAACCTAAATTCACTTGAAACACTTGAATTAGAGAAATGCCCAATGTTATTGAAGAGATGCCAAAGCCCAATAGGCGAGGATTGGCCCAAGATTGCTCATATCTAAGACCTGTACTTGCGCCCAGATCCCAACGATGATGTTGAGGTAGAAAGCCGAAACTCAATATTTACAAGCTTAGCTACCAATATAAGTGTCGATCTCTGTTTATATCCTTATCTTCATTTTCTAAAGTGATTTCATTCGAACTTAACTTGATATCTTTATAGAATCCATCAAGGGATGAGCATACGACAAGTTTAGACAAGATAAAAGCATGCAGCAGCAGCATCTTATTCAAAAGTTTTGGGGTATGCATGCAATAATATATACTACTATTGGAACGACTCAAGAATGAATATATAGATAGGTAAATACACATGATTATCCCTTCTAATTTTCCTCTTTAAGATTTTTGTGATTTCTTCACGTTTAAGATTTTTGTTATTTCACTGTTCACATTTTCCCTCATATTCCATGGTTTGTTTGCCATTTTTCTGAATAATTTTCAAGTTTTAGTAAGTAACTTGATACTTATTGTGTTCTATAGATTTAGAACAGTATTTATAAAAAGAAAACTGTTAGGATCCTAGCAATTTCTAACAAAATTGATGAACAATAGACTGAGATTCTGTTCATTTAATCGATTCAAGTTTGGTTACAATAAATGCTCTTAGAAACAGTCACATATAATTTTTTTACTACAGTAAAAAACTCTCACATAAAATTACATCTTAACTCAAATTAAAAACTCGAATCAGTGAACTAAACGAGCTCCTGAAACTCCATTGAATAAATTGAAACTTCAAAATAATACAAAGAAATCTAGAAACCGTGGTATTCGAGAGACCACCACTTCCCAAGCCCAAAACAATCCATACAATTCACAATTCAGACATGCCCCTCATCCCCTCCCATCCTCTTATTTATATAACTAACGCTTGTCAAACAAACTACAGGCCCTAACAAAAACCAAGTAAAATATTCTCACTCGAGCTCCTTCTTCTCTGTTTGTCGATTTTCCATCAAGATGATTCCTTTCACACTTATCCACTGCTTCTTCAGGTACAGATATCATTTTTCCTCATAATATTCCATGGTTTGTTTGTCATTTTTCCTCATAAATTTTTTTTGCTCGTACTGAATAAAAATTTTGTGCTTCTCACTTTCTCTGTTTCACAAATAGTACGAAATTTTGCTAATGATTTACTACTTTTCTGTTCAGACTGTGAGTTGGACTTTTTTCTAATATATCATGTGAATGGACAAAAGCAAGATGATTCCTTTTCATAGTTATTCCTCTGTCTCTCCAGGTACGTATATGTCAATGCTGCTTATTGACAACCGAGCCATAAAATTCCAATCAAAATGAAAATTTTAATTTGGCTTTGTGCTTTTGGACTAGTTAGAGGAGCAAACAAACACCTTAGAGTTAGCTTGTTCAAAACTTGGTCTCTTTTACTTTAACACAAGGCAGTATGATATTATTTCAGGTTTCTCATTTTGCTGATTTTTTTTTTTTTTTTCATTTTGTTTTTTTAATTTGTGCAGAAAAGTAGTGAAGTTTTTCTCCTATGGATTAGACTAATGCTTTATCCTGCGGCAACAACAAACAACCATCAAGATATCAAGAGACGAACATTGTTGTTAGTTCTTAAAAGCTTACATGACAAAGCTATTCCTTTGCTAATTTTCTTACTCAAGCTACTTCTTCTCTGTTCAAGCTGTGAGTGGGTCTTTTTCTGATATGATATATGGAAATCTGACTTTTGTGGATGGACTGAAGCAAGATGATTCTTTTCATAGCATAGTTATTCCTTTCTGGACCGAAGCAAGATGACTTTTGTGGTCTATTATTGATAATGAAACGCCAATTCTGTTTGTTTCATCATCATCTTTTTTCTATGAGCTTAAAATTTTGATGAATCTCATTGTGTTTTTACAGATTTGGATTGGAGAAGTAAAATGCTCTCTGGTTTCTCTTCAAAATGTAATGGAATGGTAAAATCCTTCATCTGTTTCTCTATATGCTAATCCTTTTCAATCCTTAATTAGAAAAGTTCTTTTTATTCTTCTATCCACGTTTTCCTGATCAAACATTTGTCTTTCTTGACTTCAGATGTGAACAGAACACCTGAAATAATATGTTGGGATTGATTCAAGATCATGAGTTTCCATGCATCGGATTACGCAAATGATTCATAGTGGTCTAATTTTCAGATGTAAGCAAGTCAATCATGTAAGTTTAATACATTGGTTAGAAAATGCCGATTTTATTCACCATTTTATTGCCATCTAATTCTTTTTGGAAGAGTTCTTTAGTTTGATTTTTTTTCTTTTTTAGGTTTTTGTTGGAGAAGTGAGCTACGGAATGGAACACGGTTCAATAGCTTCGCAAACATACTCTCTAAAAGTTTTGGATGATGAACTTATGCAACCTCAACATTACAAAGTACTCAAAACGTTTACCCTTCTTTTTTGCCTAAAAGAGTTTCCAAAAGTGATTTAAGTTTTTTGAAGTGATTAAGTTTCATACTTATGTAGCATGGCTAAAACAAAATGCGGATTCTGCTTGATGATATTTGTCAGGGTGTCGGAGACTAATACGTAGGATCCAATTCCTACAAATATAAGTATCAGGTTTTTATATTTCTATATTGGTTTTCTTTTGTTCACAATCATAAACTTTTATTCCTTTTTTCTGTAGTATGGTTGAAGTACCGATTACAAGATCAAGATTTACACGAAGAGCATAGCGAGTTGGCCTAATTTGTGCAAGCACAAATTTGATCCTGTGGCATAGTAGGTAAATTAATCACTGTATTCCTAATTTTGTAGTACTTAAAAAATATTTATTGTTTCTAAGATCTACTAATGTTTCAACATGATTTTGGTAAGAATGTAAAGGAACTACGGGTGGCTTGATCCCTTTATTGGGTACGTAGGCAGCCTGGTTTAGGTCCAGCCACAAATAAATAAAACAACCTTTTTTTTCCCTTCCAGTATTGGAATTATATTATAGAAGAGCTTCACAGTTTTTCTTCAACTGCAATTCAGAAAGAGGAAAGTGTTTAAGCTAATAGAGCTGTGTTTAGCAAGTGGTCACCATTCTGCTTCTTTTAAATATTCAGCAAATTAAGTTTTTGAAGCACTGTGCTTAGTCTAATGTAAAAAAAGGAAAATCTCTCAAAAAGAGAATTTTATTCATATTGACTACGGGAAGAAACAACTCCTCTTTGTATATAGAAGTTACTGAAATAAAATAAATAGTTGCAAAGCAGAAAGTCAGAAAGTTCCTTGGAAGTGAATGTGATTCGGTTCCAGCATCAATGAGAAATTCAAGAACTTGTGGCTTTCTTCTTCTGCCAAATGTTGGAACTTAATATGAAGGTACCTTAACCTTAGTATGATATAAGTCTAAAACCTTGTACCTAATCTTCTGGGGAAGACAATTTTTTCACCTATTCCAACTTTATTCCTATTCTTTTGTCGATAACTCAAGATCCAACATGATGTTTTGGTAAGCTCATCGACTGTTCATTCAGACCATCGCGACCATGCAAGTCAAAAAGTTGAGGAGCTTGGCATCGGATCATCATTTAACGCGAAAGTTTAGTTTTGATTGAGTTGAAGCCTCAAAAGTTCCTTGTTGTTTAATACTAATGAATGAGAAGCCATTTTCGAGCGGTAAAGTTTTAATCATCATTCCAATATTAAAAACTCTCAAGGGAAAACGCGATTGGAGGAAAGGACTCTTGAAGGGAAAAAGAGTTGGAGTACATGCGTACGCGATGAAAAAATGGGCATTTTAATTTATATTTTTACGGAAATTTCCATATTTTGGATCAGATTATATTAAACTCTATATCATATCATACTTGTCAGCGTGTTTTCATTTGTTCTCATTCTAGAAAATGAGATACCAAGTATTTTAAAATAGAGATATCAAATAGCGATGAAGTTATTATTGAGTGACTTTTGATAAATTATTAATTTACTTTGGTATGCAAGTAGAAAGTTACTTTGATATATAGTCACAAAGAGAGTGAAGAAAGTGGAAGAAAAAAGAGGATAATTAAGAGGATGATGAGAGATTGTGAACAGAAAAATAGATAAAGATAGAAAGAAGAGTGATATAGAGTAGAAAAACACGAGTATCTATAAGAATAAAACCGGCATTATATAGAAACAACAATTTTTAAAAATAGAAAATAATAAAAACGTGATGGCAATTTGTTTCTTTCCTTGTGTATATTGTTTTTTGAGGAATCCTTTTATCATGTGATTGATTATAAAAAAGGGTCAAGAATGTGAAAACTAAAATATTAAACTACTAAAATAGGAATTTGCTCTTTCTATTAAAGAATTGTGTGTTTACCTTAATTAATAAGTTAAAAATTTAAATAACAAATATGGGCATTTGGTCTAGTGGTATGATTCTCGCTTTGGGTGCAAGAGGTCCCGAGTTTCATTCTCGGAATGCCCCAATTTGTAGCAACTAATATTTTCATTGGCGGGTTCAGGCGGGTTTCGGGTATTTGGGCAACTCGGGTTTTCGGGCTTATTTTCGGGTCGGATGCAACAGTCGGATTTTTGAGCGTTTTTCGGGCAATTCGGGCAGTCGGGCATGGCCGGAAAAATTCAAAAAAAAACTCCGGCGGACGGCGGTCGACGGCACCTACACGGCGGCGGGCTCCGGCATGGTCTCAAAATTCGGGCTGCCCAAGCCCGAGCCTAAATTTCCACCTTGGACGGACCGGCATATGGGCCTGCCCGCCCGAGCCCGAAAAAATTCGGGCTTCAGGCAGCCTGCCGGCCTAAAGTTCCACCACTAGCTAGAACCATGTGTAATTTGTTTGTACATTTCCACTTCATCCTATGTCAACCATGTGTAATATGCAGAAAAGTCGGATCTGATCTTGTTGCTCATATGTTGAGCATCCGGGAGTCATGACATTGCACCGGTTGCAGTTGAACACTTTTGGTATATTTCAGGAGAATATTATTCGGGGAAGTGCAGACTTTATGGGTGCGTTTGGAACTGGTTCCAAAATGATTTTATTTTCTGTATGAAAATGAAAATGAATACGTTTTCATTTCCATTTTGGAATTATTTCTGAAAATGCGTTTGGTAGTTTTATTTTGAGATTGTTTTCAGTTTAAAAAAAAACTAAAACTGGGTTTGGTGGTTTAATTTTTAAAAACATATAATAGTATTTTAAATAATAATATATAAAACATACTTCCTATTAATCTTCAAAAATATGTCTAAAAAGTAAAAATGATATATAAAACATGATGAACGACAAAAAACTTGAGAATAGCATTAAATTTTAATGCCGTTTATTGTACTTTGGAAACGCAGAACCATTACAATCTTTCAACTTCCAAGTGATCTTTACAATAATGGCCTCTTGAAGGAACAAAATGAGCATGTTCCAAAGCCTATCAAAGCTTCTAAACAAGTTCCAAAACGACCTCTGCTCCACAAACCTGGTCTTACCCACATGCCCACTAGAAGTCACAAAGAAATTGCTACCCACATGCCCACTAGAAGTCACAAAGAAATTGCTCCCAACATCAACAGGCCATTTCAACCCGGTCGAAGATCCAAATGTTGGACTTCTTGCGGAAGCGGCGCAGAACGCCGGCGTCGAGTGTATCGATGTTGTCTGGCGGCGGCATGAGGCGCATGTGGGCGTTGGCGAGGTGGAGGACGAGGTGGCCCCTCTGGTTCTGAACACTATCGTTTTGGAAGTCGAAGAATAGGGTGAGCCAATCAAGGGGGTCCATGTGAGGGAGCCATTGCGCGAATGGCGGCCGACGGAGGTTCCCGACAGCTCGCAGTGCCGCGCCGCGACTCGAACCTCTGGATACCGCAACGACGGGTGGTCCACGAGCAGGTTGTGCACCGGGATTATGTTGTACGGCTCCAACTCCAGGTCTCCTGCCGCTGCCGCCGGGCCCAGACGCGATGGTGGGGATGGTCGCTGGCGGAGGCTCATGAGAGAGAGAGAGAGAGAGTGAGAAGAGAAATGCTTCGAAAGATGCAAATGGGAGAGGAAACAAAAACGAAAACGGAGAAAATGATCTTAATTCGTTTTCAAATTTTCAGAAAAAGACAAAAAAGTTTTTGTTTTCAATTTTTAAAAACTTTTGCACCAAACGCATTTTATCAACCCATTTTCATTTTTTAACCTCAAAAAATGGGAAAAACGGAAATAAAAACGAAACCAAATAGGCCCTATGTTTCTACTCAACGCTCATCTAAATATTTTGTTTTTGTTAATCTTGAAGGTATGGATGGCTTGATGCTGCCTCCTTCCAATTATACGGTGGAGTTGCTCTATCATCAGTCCCCACTTTTGCTATTTTTCTGTTTCTTCAGAAAATAGTAGTGTATGTGCTATGTATTTCTCTTTTGATATAATGGTGCATGTGCTACGCACTTTTCTTTTGATATTATAACTAATTAGGATTATGCTTCACTTTGTAAGTTTGTATTAACTAGGAACTTGCTTTACTTGGCATATAACTATATTTTGGGATTATATATGTAGTTGAATGATATATTGTCATTTTTATTATTGTCAGGGGCTAAAGTTATATTTTTCAGGGAACATATCTTGATAGATGTAAAAAATTATCATATTTGAGCTTGTGATAATTTATTATTACATAAAAATATCAAATATTATTTTTTTTTACAATTGAAATATAGTTTTTAAATTATTATCCTTCAAATAAAAAGTTTTTTTCAATAATTAAATTATTTTTTTACTATTATAATTAATTAAAATATTAAATTATTTAGGATTATTAATCAAGGGTATTTTTGTCAAAATACAATTTATTTTCATTTCATTCCGTTGTCAACCAAACAACATAATCCTCATTTAGGTATTGTTTCCATAACTCCAATCAAATAAAAGAATTAATTTATGATTTCAGCACATTCCAATTCTATTTCATTACCATTCTTATTATCATTCCGTCACTGCAACCAAATCATAAATAGGCACAATACAAGTACTCTTGCTACAAATCTCGCCATAGCTCTAGTCGGCACCTCGACTGCACTCCAATCAGTGGTCAGTTTGACATAGCCTGGGAGGGAAATTTAAAATTGCATAAAACTGGAGTAAAAACTGAATCAAAATAATGATGTCAAAACGACTATAAAATATTTAAATGACCATTTTAAAATAAATCATACAGTACTAAATCTAATTGCAGATTGTTCAAGTGTGAAGAACATTCCTAAAATTCTTATTACTAAGAAATACAATCAAACATGAGCAATACGGCGGCAAGTAAGCTAGATAGCAAGCAGCTGCATCATTCTGCATTTATATGAGTTGCCAGCATACTCTTACGTAGGACAACCAATTGCAAACAGAAAGCTTTGTCATCCAACCAATGGAAATCAAGAACAAGCATCACTCGTCCAATCACATAAAAAAGCGATCCCTTTGTTCTGTTTTGTAACACCAGTAAAAATCCTATCCGTAAAAATCGTATTTCAGTCAAACCATTTTGTTGAGAAGTGAAATGGGCTGATGATGTAGCGAAAATTAGATAAAACGAAAAAAGAAATAATAAACTAAAATGGTAGCCAATTAACCTGCTGATTCACACAAAATATCAGAAAATTTATTTCAGAAACCGTTGATTCACAAAAAATATGCTGGCATTCAGAAGAGAGAAAATTCGAGGAAACTCTAAAATTTTATTCAACTAAATTGGTTTTCAATAAAAAGAAAAAAAACGTCCATATAAATAGGCAAAACAGAAATAAGAC